GTTTATGTAAGCATGGGGGGAGGGGGTAAGAGCTTTGCTTACTTTTGCTGACAAGGGGGATGGGGGGTAAATAATTGTAGTAAATCTGCTTACGTAATACTTGAACAGCTCCTATATTATAGTTATAATCTATTTACTTTTTGTATGTATGTTATTGAAGAATTATTTAAAGTGAAGCTGATGTCACAAAATATACCTAATTAAATGTGATATATATGAGAAATAACTCAAAAATTAGCTGTTGCCAATCACTAAATAACGAAAACATAACAAAGAACATTGCAAGTTTTTTGATGATTTGATGAAATAATCGTTGATCTTTATTTAACTATAATGCTGGACAATGATATGTTGGGTAGACCTGGCGATGTGGACCAAATCAACGAATCAAAGTTGGGTTTTTTTATATGCAATGACCGCTGGTGCTTTTTGTATTTCCTATGTCATGTGAGCCGCTGGTCCATTTTCCACTGTTTAGACACATACTGTTCAAAAATTCATCTAGTTTTCGGTAAATATTGGGTCAACTTATCATAAAACAAGCCAGTTATAATAAATTGACACTTTTATTTTGCAAATAACCTCATTTTTTATCACATATTTCTCCCAAAAAAAGGTCCAAAGCATGGGGGGAGGGGGTAAGAGCTTTGCTTACTTTTGCTGACAAGGGGGATGGGGGGTAAATAATTGTAGTAAATCTGCTTACGTAATACTTGAACAGCTCCTATATTATAGTTATAATCTATTTACTTTTTGTATGTATGTTATTGAAGAATTATTTAAAGTGAAGCTGATGTCACAAAATATACCTAATTAAATGTGATATATATGAGAAATAACTCAAAAATTAGCTGTTGCCAATCACTAAATAACGAAAACATAACAAAGAACATTGCAAGTTTTTTGATGATTTGATGAAATAATCGTTGATCTTTATTTAACTATAATGCTGGACAATGATATGTTGGGTAGACCTGGCGATGTGGACCAAATCAACGAATCAAAGTTGGGTTTTTTTATATGCAATGACCGCTGGTGCTTTTTGTATTTCCTATGTCATGTGAGCCGCTGGTCCATTTTCCACTGTTTAGACACATACTGTTCAAAAATTCATCTAGTTTTCGGTAAATATTGGGTCAACTTATCATAAAACAAGCCAGTTATAATAAATTGACACTTTTATTTTGCAAATAACCTCATTTTTTATCACATATTTCTCCCAAAAAAAGGTCCAACTTGACAACAATGGCCGTTCAGAATTGTTTGTACTTTCAAATATTTCTGATAAACGCAAAAAATTTGATCTCATTGAAAATACGCGGAGAAAAATGGTTAAGGAATTTCCAGAAGACTGAAAAATCACAACATTACACCTCTACACAGTTTACCAAGTAAATACCATCTTTTAGGTATGTATTTTGAACTGTTATTTTAGCTCATAAGCTAATGTGTAATAACACGACTGATTTTGTACCTTTTCTTGCAAAAAACAACGATTTTTCAGTTTCACATCTATTTTCCTTACTACTATACAGTGTATGTTATATTCTTATATTTTAGAGCATCATTCTGTGCAAAAAGCAAAAAAAAGCGTATAAAACAATATTAAATTCTAGAGTATTACCACCAAAAATGCAACTTTGCAGTTCTATAAAATAGCAGGTTTCCTTAAAGAAAAAATGATATTTTTTAAAATAAGAAATGAAGTATTTGCGATATGCGCTAAAGTATAGTCTTACCAAATCAAGATGTTTGGATAAGGGGCGGCTGAAAGTACCTAAATATTTACTTTTTTGTAGTATGGATTATGTGGCTAACTCAGCTCACTTTTTGATATTGGCTAGTCAATTCAAGTATTATGTAACTCAGTGTTTCACAGATAGTTTGTGCACAATCATTTTATTTTATTTTATACTCATAATACACGTATTTACACATTATCATATTCTGGATTCAGGCAAAATTAAGTATATATATATATATATATATATATATATATATATATACACCTACCCTTATTTTGACAGCTGAAATAGATCAACATGCCCCAGAAGCAAATCAATGCACCAATGCAAAAGTGCCTACTTACATTCTGTTGTCTGATTTTCGCCCAAATTCAGCCGGACTCTGCTCTATTTTGGAAACTATCCAGTCCAGCGGAGGTCAACGACACGGAAATCCTCTCTTGGTTGGCCCAAATTTTCACCCATTTAGTTAACATAATAACTGAAACCGCGGGTCAAGTCCATCGTACCACCGAACTCGAGCGAAAACACCCTTCTTCACGGGCTGCAACCCTCTCGCCAAGGCCTACTGTCTACCACTATGAACGTATGAACATACGGCGAAGTCTACCGATCGAACATTTGCTTTCGCGCTGAAACCGAATGAATGTATTTTCCGAGTCATTTTGAGCAGTTGCTGTTATCTCGATACGAGATTGTTTTGTAAAACATAAATGTAATGACAATCAAAGACAGCAGACCAGAAACGTCATGCGACGTAAACGCAGCGAGAGAGCAACTCAGTGTGATGACGTCACGCGCGTCGAATGTCAGTCGCGGCAGCGCGGTGAGGCGGTAGGCCTGTTGTGGCTGTATGAGGGATGAAGACAGGTCCGGACTGGATCGTTTTGTCGATATAGGCCTATCAACAGGATTGGAAAACATATTGTCATAAAATTTACAGGCATTCGCTTGGGTGGTTTATGAAGAACGGTGGATAGATTAAGAGAGGAAACTGCCCCAAGGTAGACCCCTTACGGCTACGGTATTACGTAGCTGGGAAAGTGACATTGTCGGATTTTTTTGACTTTATGTAGGTTTTTTATGACATTATCTAGGTTTTCATACAAGATGTCAACTACCAACTAGTTATCGTTCACTTCATTCTCACTTGTAGCAGGAGCGGAATGAACTATTTGTACCCTACCAGCTATCAAGTCAACAAGTTGACACATTATCGGTTTTTTTTATTGCATTTTATAGGTTTTTACTTAATAACCCTGCCGTCAGGCGAACCCCCGCACGGCTATTATGTAAAAAAACGAAAAAATGTCAGAAAACGACAATATGTCATCTTGCAGACTATTAGTTTTTAGTGTGCAAATACTAGTTAATTCCACGTTTGCGTGCCATGATCGCTGTTCGCTGACGTACAACACGTACAACAGCTACAAACCTAGTCCACAACAAGTGCAAAACAGCTTATGCTAAGTTAACATCTTGTACAAAAACCTACGAAATGTCAAAAGAACGGACGGAATGTCGCCTTTAAGATACGTAATATATGTTCCTAAATGCGAGGAGAATAGGTTCATGAAATTGGTACTACTTCTATACATTACCCATGACCCCTCATTCAAACGACAATATATGAACGAGATGTATCAAATCTTGCCTTCTCAAAGACCAAATGTAGATTCTTGCGCCAAAGCTGTGCATTTCTAGAATACTTCCACACTCTGTATCTACTTAGGTTTTGCCTTGGAGGTTACGCTTCTATCAATCTTTGGAATACAGATCAAATTCAATTGGCTGATTTATTCAGTGGGAAAGACAGGTTGCTCAAATAATTCATTTTTAAAGTAAAAAGTTCATACAGGATACCTAAGTACATTGTTTCCAAAGGAAAAAAAATACTAAAGGTTTTCCAAATTTCTGTATTTCAAGTTTACAATTATTATAAAACTGACGTTTTGTACAGTGTTAAGGCCATCTGCCACGATACGAAATTTTGTGCTAAATTTCGTACAAAATTAAGGTTAGTGTCAGACAGCATTTAGTAAATAATTTTGTATGAACAAATTTAGTGCTAAATTTTGTAGAAATTATTCAAATGATATCATACTAAAAGTGCGGAGACAACTACTGCACATTTGGAACAGTACAATGGCTGATATAACCTCAAACAGTTTCATTATACCCTATTTGACGAGTAACCATCACGGTAGAATGACATCAGGTTATATAGTAATATCTCAAAATTCCCCATATTGGCACAGGACACATAATTCTGACGGATCCGTCAACGCCAGGTAGTCAGAGCCGTATTTTGTTTTGGTTTTTTAACAACTCTTTTATTCAGAAAAGTCCATTGGTATACAAAAACAAAACACCACAAGCAAGTTTTGCTAGATTTGTACCCGATTCATTATTGCCAACGTTCCAGAGTAACACAAAAGCGTCACTTGCTGATCAGCAGTTCGTCAAAGCGCGATGAATACTCGTGAAATATGGTATAGTTGATGTTATCAGTTGTGTTCATCAGTTTAGCGAAGCTCCCCTGCATATGCTGTTCCACTTATAGATTGAAAACTTAAAAGATGTCATGATCAATTGTATGCTGTAAAAGGCAAAGCCTATAAAAACAGAAAAGCCAAATAAGCTGCGTTGGATAGAGTCAGAATGACTTAAAAGCCAATTAGGCTGCTGTACTAGAAGTTCTTTATTCAGCATGTGGAGCTCACACATGCGCTGGTCCCTCTCCCTGATCCATTTTGGGCACCAAATTATTTTACGGTTTCGTTTACTTCGTTTTTTCATGAGGTGGGCAGCTACAACCCCGATGCGAATTACAGGATCGCTCCGTTTTCTACAGTTTTCTATTCGTTTAAAAATAAAGGAATAAAGTAGCAACCGCAAAGGAAAGTGTGGTTAGAATGTCTTTGACGTGATAAATGGCAGTTAGAAGTTGACAGTTATAGTTTTTTTCCACCAACTGCGCATGATTTCGTACGAAATTTAGTACAAAGATTTCTTTACATGTCATGTAATTTGTAAACAAATTGGGAACTAAATTAACAACAAATTTTCCCACAAAATTTGGTACTAAATTTAGCACAAAATTTCATATCGTGACAGACGGCCTTTAGTCTTGTTGATCTTTTTAAAGCAACGAAAACTTTAATTGAAGAATAAACGCCAAATCTTAAGGTAAAGTATATAAACGAACATTGGTTCTGGAATCCAGAAAAGAATATGTTTTTTTAGAATTCTTTCCTCTTTATTTTCCAAAAAATATCCTGGTGATGCACTTACGGTGCATAAAAAAATTAAATAGGCCCCACACATGATCTTATCAGTTATCTTTTATTTAAACTTGAATCAAAACAAATCTTCACAGTCAAGATGTTAATTGCTTAACACATGTGCCGACTCGTACGGTCTCTTATCAGACAATAACTATAAGTACCAGCTGTAACAGTAATTATCAGATTAGGATAAAAAATTTCCTTAGAATTAAAAAATACTTGATAATTGTAATAACATTATTATCGAACGATCAAAGATAGATGTATCTAAATATTCACAAACATATTATCATAATAAATAATAGAAGGTATATGGCATATATTGAAGGTATCAAATAAAATGCTTTTAAAATTACAATTTCTTTACACTTAAGAGTGTCTTACAGAATATATATTACATTTCTCGAAAGCAGTGATATATCAAGATGAGTTTTGGTATACATAAATTGTAGCATTAATACATTGGAGCTAATGTTGACTTTGATTCATCATTCACATATTGGGATTTGACTATGTTGGCCCAATATGTGAATGCGACATAACGAAAAACTCCAACAGACACTTTCTCAGCAGAATATTATGGCTTTAACAAAATAGAACTCAATTTTTCAAAAACCGATAGTGTGCAATTGTTGGCTAAACATAAAGCTTAAGTACCCGATATCGGGGTAACGGGAAAACGTCAAACCTATCTATACATGAAACTTATTTAATATTTAGGTCCACTGTCTAAATCTACCATCAGTCTGTCGTAATAGCTTTTGTAACAGCATATTAACCATTGTCCCATTTGTCTAAAATTACAAAAATGTAATTGGTATAGAATAAAGTTTATTTTTAACAAAATAACAACCGATCAATGTAGAATTTAGAATTACATTTTTCGAAAGAAAAAAGAAAAGAACAATAATCTTCACTGAAAATGTACATGTGTTACTTTTAAAAAATACAACTTAGTTCGCTGGCACTTTTGTGAGTCATTCTGTAAATAGAAAAGATACCGCGTAAAAACTGTTGTACTAGACTTATATATAACTTTCTCTTTTGAAAGGTTAAGCTAAAAAGTTGAGTGGGGGTCAATTTTAAGCAGAACACCCTGTATATATTAATAGGTGCGTAGAATTAGCGGGGTTGGAAGCATATGAGTATACCAGCGACAAAAATTGAGATACACTCTTTTCCACCCCTACAACCCTAACCCCCAATGTTTAACCTCTACAGATAATTTTTCGAAAATGATCGGAAGCTGTAATGTTAAAAAACCAAGTTTGAGCGTTTTTTTTTGTATTTTTGGCACTGGCTCTGCCGCCACTGGACCGATTTTAAAAAATTACAAAGCTTTTGCGACTTTGCCATAATAGTAACCTGGTGTGCAAATTCCATCTAAATCTAAAGGATTTGCAGACAGACCGACGGAAATGAGTGACATGATTTTGTGTGAAGTACATGTCATATAACATCTAAAAAACATAATATCTCATTTTCGAAATATTTTGCAATTACACTATACTTCCTCGTCCCTCGATGCTTTTGATTATCTTATTTTTATTAATTAACGTCAACAAAAATCGCTTATCACTATAAAGAAAACTTCTAAGATTTCTTGTAATGAAATAAAAGCAACTATAACGGACGATAACTGAACTGAAACTTATCATGTGGTTTTTAATGTTGATAATTCCCCATGTTTGTCTGGCCAATCAAACCACATATTTTTTTAAAATGCTTCTTCATTGTATATGTTTCGGTCACAACGATGATCTTCTTCAGAAAGGGGATTCACGTTAGCCAATGATATAAGTAAGTGTTGTCACATTTTAAATTAATCCTCTATCGGTTCATCCTTACCACCAAATTTCACCACAGTATAAATGATAATTGAACATACGACACACTAGCAATATGTAAGCCTAAGCAAAACTCCACCATACCAACTCAAACTTCCTTCTTTGGCTCCCCATTATCTACAATTTTCTTCACAGGCGATTCTGGTGGTTTCTCCTTCTCTTCAACCAACTCATTTTTCTTATTCTCGTTCTCTTCAACGGCTCTGACGTTAGCTCTCCTTTGAGCTCTATCCTCACTCCGTTTCTTCATGTACTGCGGCAGCCAAAAACAAGCGAGAACCAGTTTGATCAGAACGTAAGCCAAGAAAATTAAGGCTAGGTATGAACATGAGGAGATGATCATTTTCCAAACGTCTACGCCCACTTTCTGGGTTCTCATTTTAGAGGTTTTGAAGTGGATGTTTTGAGAACGAAGGGTTATAGGAGGATGCATCGGAAGTAACAGTCGGAAGTGTCTATAGCTATGGGAACGTCTTTCACAACATTGTCTGTGGTATTGAGTGAGCCGATACATAGTCCAGTTCATGTATATCGAAATTATAAAAGAAAATCAAAAGGACTAAGTAAAGTACTATTATGTATGTATCGAAGAAAGAGACTAAACCCAAACAGTGATCATCGCGTGATCATTGCGTGATCAGCACAACGATATATTTCAAGAGAGACGGAGCATATAACTGTTATTGGGCAGAATAGGTCGAGCCCTTACACAGAACCAATAGCAAACCGGAGGGTGGAGATCTAATCATTCACTGGTCGAACCAAAATAGTATCCGCCAAGAAAAAAAATCAACGATGCCATAAAGGACTTAGACAGAACCGCCATAAGGAGAATTGTACACAATTTTTTCTTTCGTAAAGAATCACCAACGATGCATATAGTGCTGAAGCTGGTTAACGAGGATAATGACTTGCCAAGTTTCAAGAGACCTACATTCTATATATTATTAAAAGAAATGGGGTTTCAATATAAAAAGCGGGGAAGAAAATATGTTAATTCCAGTTTGGACCCTATACATGCCTGCGATAATTTTGCATATTTTTTTATCGTGTTATAAAACCACAAATCATTTATTCTTAGGACGGCCCTGTAACGTGCTCGGCGTTCTGGAGCGCGATCACGTGGAGTATACGTGAATATGTTTAGGTTTAGCCTCTTCCTTCGATGGATACATAATAATACAAGAAATCGCCATTATTGACCGCAATGTCTTATTGAGAAGTACCATTCCTCTCATTACGTAAATTAGGTTTGTTCCAGCAAAATGTTCAGTTCCGATTCAAAACATTATATTTCTTTCACGGAACAATCGAGTGACATATGATTCGAACAAGAACTACATATACCCTATTTACGAGTATCCATCGCGGTAGAGTGTAGTGGTAGTAATATCTCAAAATTCCCCATATCGGCACAGGACACATAATTCTGACTGATCCGTCAACGCCAGGTAGACAGAGCTGTATTTTGTTTTGTTTTTTTGTACGCTACAGATTCACTTTGTACTTGCTAACTGCGCTTTAATTTAGAAAAGTCCATTTGCATACAAAAAACAAAGCGCCACAACTAGATTTATGCCCGATTCATTATTGACAACGTTGCAGACTAACACAAAAATGTCACTTGCTGATCAGCTGTTCTCCTCAGTAGACGTCAAAGCGTGATGGATACTCGTGAAATAGGGTATAGTATCGACCTTACTGGAACGATTGTCCTAGTTCTGTGTAGATTTAGGAGTTCCTTGATGGTACGTTATAATAAAATCCCCTTATGGATCTTTTTTATACCAATGGCGAAGCTGCTGCATAGGTAGAATCCTAAATACCGGGGCGGCACTGCGATCCCTATAAGGAGGTTAAAACACCTATTTAATCCGATTTTTGAACTACCCAAGAAATGGGAAAAGCCTCCTGCTCAGACAGGTTGTTCCACAAATTCGACACATAAGGAACAAGGAACGGTCGTACTGGACAGTTATAGATTACACAATTCTACAGAAGCTGGGCGTCAGAAGCCTGGCGGACCCATCCGGCAGGAACAACGTGCGGCAGCGCCAAGGAAGCTATGAGGAACAAGTCCTGTTGCCATAGCGATAGCATAGATAGCCTGATCGCCCACCTCTTGTCGAACACAATCGAGGATGGACAACCTATTAAGGGATCGGACTAAACTAGATTGATATAACCATACTATTGCGTTTTGATGATTGATTGTTAAGTTCAGTGTACAATAATTTGAAGGAAAGCAATACTACATTCTAGAGTTATAAAGTTTACTCACAAAGTCATATTTAAACCGTATTTCACGAGTATCACTCACGCTTTGGCGTCTACTGAGGTGAACAGTTGATCCGCAAGTGACATTTTTGTGTTAGTCTGCAATGTTGGCAATGTATGCAAATGAACTTTTCTAAATAAAAGGGCTGTTAGCAAGTACAAAATGAATCTGTAGGGCACAAAAAAACAAAACAAAATACGACTCTGACTACCTGACGTTGACGAATCCGTCGGAATTATGTCCTGTGGGGAATTTAGAGATATTACTTGATAATCAGCTGACAGCCTTGCGTGATGGATACTGGTGCAATAGGGTGTAAGAAGCTTGGATAATGTAGTTCCCCATATTTTATTTATTTTCTTAAACTAACTATAGTATTTTTTACTTAGCCGTGAAGATCAAAAAGCACGCAATCTATATATTTTTATGTTTCTGATATCTATTTCTTATTTACATGTCCCGGAAATCCAATGACTTCGGGTTTCAGGGCCAGAATTTACAGAGCTAACTGCAACTTTTAAGTCGTATCACCGACAGAAAATTGCTTCAAGTACAGCACCTATCAGTAAACACATCAATAGCTTAAAATGTAAATTAAAACAGATTTTTTTCAGAAAAGCTTGGTCGACTGGGCTATGAAATCCGTACACATGAATAAATCCAAGCAATCCTGATGGGTTTTTGTGCAGGCCGATTTGATTTTTAATTTCCAGTTATTGGATCCTGAATACTCGAGTTAATATTATAGAATCCAAGGGATAGGTAGTCTTCTTGCATCTGCGTACATTCAATGTGTGTTCCATTCCTCAAATGATAAATATCACGAATGCCAACCGAATATATTTGTATAGAATTTGAAAATGCGTCTTCTGTGATCATCACACTTCCACGGAAATAAAAAACTGATAAAAAAGGTCTCCACAACCGGGAACACAGGAGTTCCTATCTCTGTTGTTAAGCTATTCATTGATTTTATGGAAGTGATATATGTTTGGTGCTGGGATACACGGCCAGGCCACCCACCATACGAGCTGTTGTATGGCGGGTTGCCTGATACCGACATTCCAGTGATTATTTGAAGGTATGTAGGTATGTATTAGGGTGTCTCAAAACAATGAAAGTTCTTTTTTCAAACGCTTGCCCTCTAGTTTTCTCCGTTTGACTCTAACAGCTCAAAAAAAAATTATTGCGATCGAGGAACGATAACCCGTGCCACTTCTCAAGCTTTCTTTTTACAGTCATATAAGTATGTAAGAAGTGTTTGAGCAACGTCGACAAGAGTTTGTTATGAACTTGGACAATCCGTTTGATATTGCGGATGATGATCCCCCATGAAAATAAATGAAGATATCTTCTTGCAGCGGCAGAGAGCGCCAGGTCGACCTGGTCATATAGTTGGGGTGGACAAGAAATTAGCCATAAAAGAAGGAAAGGAGCGTCTTAGAAACACCGAAGAAAAAAAGCGGGCAGCTAAATATGTTGCTTCCTTAACTCCTTCGGCATCATCTTACGAAACAGTGCAAGAAAACTCATCTTCAGATTCCGAGATAGATTTACAAGAAACTTTACCCATCCCAACTCGGAGCACACAGCCTGATACTAATCAAACGCAAATGAGGAAAAGTTTCTAACTCCAACATTAGTAGCAGCAATAGGTAGGTGTCAGTTAAGTATGAGAAATGCTGTTTTTATTATTGAAGCAACATAAAACATCGACGAGTTTCCTATAACCAAGTGACTGACATTCCAACGTTTAAAAAGTTTCGCGTCAGCTGGAAAAGTGTGTAGCCCGAGAAAATACAAATTTATACTGAAAAGCTATCATGCCTGAATATTTCCGAGACTGACAAGCTGCTAGAATTTTATCGACATGAATTGACTAAAGAAGTTGCTAGAGACGACTATCGAGAATTAATATAACTTTCAATAATATCCCTTGACGGAGATACAGAGAAGAAAATTTCGCTAGATCTATTATACCTCAGATAGAGGTTAGTTGCTATGCTTTCGTTCGTTGTCCTGACCTGAGGCCAAGCCTAGACGATGCTGACGAGTTGCCAAAAAGCGCAAAACATCTATCCATGGTTAACTGTCTGTGGTCGGACGGACATAAAGAGAATGCCGAGATCGGTTATCGTTTCCAGATCGCAATAATATTTATTTTTTGAGTTGGTAGAGTCAAACGGAAAAAATAGAGGGTATGCGTATCTCAATTCGAACAAAAATTTGTTTGTCCTCATGGGCTGAGACACCCTAGTATACATACTTGTTCTCGTTCATCCTCCTCCTGTTGGAATTTCTCCAAAAACCTATCCAACTCATCCAAATCAGTTCCAAGTTCAAGAATCTTCCTTGTTTGTCTCTCTTCAAAGCTTTCATAGATGTCTTTTTCCCTTGATTCTTCGTCCTTTTGGAATTTTTCCAAAAAGGCATCTAAGTCGTCGTCCTTTTCATCGTCATCGCAGGTACCTTCCGTTTCTTCCACCTAGAAGTATTATAGTGAGCGATAGAGCAATATTGAAGATAAGTACCAAAATGTGTTTTTGATTAGACTTAGATATTGCATTTTAGCAGTGGCGGATTTAGGGGAGAGGCGCGGGGGGGCGCGCGCTTCCCCTAGACACAATCCGCATCTCTTCCCGCGTATGTGTCTATTTATGTTTATTTATTTATTTATTTATCCTGGAAGCAGACACCAAGATCCTTGCATGTGCTTTCTCTGCCTAGTTGTACATTTTCAATCGTGTATGTAAAATTTATGTAGGTATTGTTTTTTACGTGTAAAAGTTAAAACATTGCATTTGTCGATATTTAACGACATCCTATTTTCGAGAAACCAATTGGATACCAAATCTAAATCCTTCTGTAGTTCATGACAATCCTTAGGTGATGTTATGGGCTTAAATATTTTAAACTCATCAGCATAGAGGAGGCATTCTGAATTGTTTATGCAGCTTGGTAAGTCGTTAATGAAAATACGTAGAGACTCACGACTTGACTTGATTTTCAAGCTACTTAACTTGACTTGACTTGATATCAAGTCAAGATCAAGTCAAGTATTTGTTTTTGAAATTCAAGTCAAGTCAAGTAGTTACACATCAAGTAACTTGAAAATCAAGTTTTCAAGCTAACTACTTGATTTTTCTTGAAAAAATTTACTTTTTTGATATTAATCTGTTCAACTGCCAAAACGGAATAACAATAAAAATCTATGTATATATAGATTTAATCTTTTATTTAAAAAACATCTAAAAACGAAAACTCTAACAAACTCAGTTTAATAATACATGAAATAATATGAAATAAAAATGCGAAATATTCTGAATTCTGACAATAAAACAATAGAAAATCAACAAACATGAAAATGAATATCTAAAATAAATCTTTAATATCCTCATTTGCCATCCATGATTTGAGACACAAAAGGCTTCTAACGGAGTTATCGCCTAATCGATTTCTTGTTTTGGTAAGAGTTAAGGCAGCTCTAGAAAACTGCCTTTCAACTGGAGCTGAAGAAGCTGGCGTTGCCAAAAAGTCTTTGGCCATTGCGGCAAGGTTTGGAAAAATGCATTCGTGTCTCTTCCACCATTCCACCATTCTAAAATATCTTCAGTACTGTCAGCTCTTGGGTCAGAAATATATTTGTCGATTTCGTAATGCCAGGCCATATCGTCGTCTGCATTATGGGCAGGTTTTCTATTAAACAAACTTAGTAGATCTTTTCGACACTACTATCGTTACTACTTTAATTGCTTCTATCTGCAACTCTTTTCCCCAATTTGTATTGGAGAATGTATCCACTTTATGTCGGGGGTCTAAAATCAGGACAACACAGTACATCCAGTTAGTCCGTTCGTAATGTCTAATGATTTTGTCCCTTGCCGCTTGAATACTATTTATAATCTTTTCATCGATTTCATCTCGATCAGGTTTATTGTCAAGTACCTACCATAGCCCACGATTCTAGTCTATCCAGCAATATATTAATGCCGATTATTACCATGGGTAAAGTAGCATATGATTCACCTTCTAAAATTATGGAAATACTCTTAAAAACATTAAGGTACTGGCAAATTCGTTCAATTAACGACCATTCTGTGTCGGTTGGCTTTAAAGTTTTTAAATTTTCTACATTATCACAAAGGATCTCAACATGTCTAACGTGAAGTTCCACCTTGTTATGAGATCAAGTTTTGGCATAGTAAATTTCAGGTTTAAAGTGGTGCAAAATTTTTCAAAATCTTCACGTACCTAAATGTTCAGTTTTTTTATTTTTTAGCAAGGGAATGGATTTTTCTTACAGAAGAGGGCGGAACTTGGCAGTCATCATCATCATCATCTGATATATCTGTCAAAATGTTGGCGGTTTCTTCAACCTCAGAATCAAGGATTTTCATAAAATTTCTAGCTGCCAAGTTTAAGATGTGTGCAAAACATACAAAGTGTATATTTTTTGTATCGATGTCAGAAATATGCGTTTGAAGTTCTCTGATGAACGTAAAATTACTATTTGTATTGTCGGTAGTAATACCTTGTATGCATTTTGTAACATCGTAGAATTGTAATACTTCGAAAAATAGCTTTGCAATTGCATTACCAGTATGTTGCCCATGTGCTGGCACAAAATCTAGAAGGATACAATGAAGTTTCCAATTTTTATCGATAAAATGGGCGGTAATACCATAGTACCCCTTCATATTAAAAGAAGACCATCCATCGATTGTGAACGAGATTTTTGAATTACATGTTTTCAAAAATGACTTAATTGTTTGCTGCGCTGCTGCAAATGTTTTTAATGTCAAAGATTTCATTTGATTCCGACCAGGTAGAGTTGCTTTTGGATTTAGGAATTTGTACATTTTTCCATTTATAGCATCTTCAAAAAAGTTGAAAGGGAGATACTTCTGTGCTATATATTCCACAAGTAGTTTTTGAAATTTGTCTTGTTGAAAGTTTTCTGAACAACTAGTGGTCTGCAAAATAAACAAAACTGGAGTTAGTAAAGTGCAGCGCAAGGTGCATGAATGTTTACGTCATAATATCCCACTTTTAAATGAAAAAGTAAGTAATTTTTTTGAAATGCCCTGTATAAAAATTTATAGCATGTCCCACAATTTTGAATAGAATGTCTTAAAGTCAATATAGATTTTTGTAAATATGCTCTGATGAGTTTTATTGATGCAGGGTGCCCAAAAACTGCTGCACCGACTTCAAAATCAGAATTTTAAATGAGACATCATTACACAATTATAACAACAAACAAAAATTATGTTATATAATAAAAAAGCGGTTCTAAATTAGAAGTCGACAGTACTTCTTATATTTAAAAAACTTTTAGAATTGTTATCCGAAAGTTGTAATTTTTTCCGTTCAAGAGCCGCCTTTTATTTAATATTTTGATATTTCGCCTACCTCGATATTTATTAATAATTTATTAAACCTTTTTAATATAGAATGACTTTTAAAATCAAGGAACCTATAATGATTATAATAAACATTATAAAACTATAAGTGTGGCTTAAAATGAGCTGATCCGGATTTTGGAAAAAATAACTTTTTAAGGGGTTTTCGTGATCAAGCAATCCAAATTAGGCATTTGTTTTTTTCTAGCATGATTCCTTTATGTGTTTTTTTAAAGATTTTTCAAAAATGGATGAAGTTGGAAAAAACAAATGAAGGATTCTGGTGCAGCAGTTTTCGGACATCCTGTATAAATAAAATTCTAATAGGTAATTTAATTTTTTTTGATTGCCAAGAATCTTTTATATAATTATTTTTTTTCTACACCCTGTAGTTTCTGAGGAAGAGGTATGCTTACGCCCCTAATAAAATGCCCACCCTGTACAATTATTTACTATTTAGTTTCAGCTCAAATCTAATTATTATTAATTTTTTACCTTCTCAAGCCAATTTGTAATTGTGCTACGCCTATTCGAACTGGCAGAGGCTTCTGCTTCGGATTTAGGTGGGCTGGATCTACCAAAAACGTCTTCGTAGACTCTAGTGTGTTTAGCTTGCAAATGCCTCCTTAGTGAAGATGTTCCACAGTTTTTCATTTTTAAAGCTGTATTTTTTACGACACATAGGGTACATTTGCCTTGTTTGTCAGTAGTTTTCTTACTCTAAAGGATCCTGCTCGATTACGAAATAATCCTTAATTTTATTCGTTTTATTAGCTTTAACTCGTTTTCCCTTTGGTGGCACCGACCCTGCACTTTCTTCTTCTGGTTCGGTGTCATCAGATTCTGACACTTTTTCATTTACGATATATTCTGAGCCGCTGCTTTGAAAAGGTTCCGACTCCATTTCTGACAAATCACTTCTTAAATCAGACATAATAATTCTTTTGCGGTCGCCCTTTATCCTTGAACAACGCTGCTCTACTAATCGCACGAGCACGTCCGTCGTCATCGAGTGCCTGCTTGCTGTGTGAATCCCCTATTTAACCTCGGTGAATCCCCTATTTTAACGCTTCGATGCGCATTTCACAGATCTACTATCAAGTAATATCAAGTAGTTTGATTTTACTTGATATCAAGTCAAGTAGTTCAGTCCGAAAATCAAGTCGTCAAATATCAAATTTTTAAAAGCTTGAGTTTTCAAGTCAAGTCAAGTCTTTAAGAAAAAATTCAAGCTACTTGTCTTGATGAATCTCTAAAAATACAGAATAGCAAAGGACCAAGGTTACTACCTTGCGGCACCCCAGATGAAGCTATGTATTGGTTTGATACTGATCTGCCAACCTTTACTTGTTGTGGTCTCATGGTGAGATAAGATGTCATAAATGTACATGCATTTGAAGAAAAACCAGATCTACCTAATTTAGCCACCAACAGGCCATGGTCAACCCTATCGAAAGCTTTGGCGCAATTTGTAAACACAACATCCAACTCTTGTTTATCATTTATAGCCTCAGCTGCTGCCTCTGTAAAGATGCTCAAATTGGTAACAGTCGAGACACCTGGCAAGAAACCATGTTGTTGAAGAGCAAAGTTGCTTATACACGAGTTCAGGATATCTTGATACAATATGTTTTCAAAAATCTTTGCAGGAGCATTAAGAACAGTGATAGGTCTGTAATTGTTAACTAAACTGGCATACCCTGACTTGAATATTGGAGTTACAGATGCATTTTTAAATTTCTCTGGGAACGTGTCGGTCCTTAAGGACAGATTAAAAATTGTCATCAATGGGGCACTCAATATATCTGAACACCCTTTGTAAATATATGAAAGGATGTTATCATTACCAGTAGCTTTTTTTGGTTTTAACCTTCTGAAACTTGCTAAAACTCGCGCCTCGGTGACTTGGGAGAATGTGTAGTCACTATTACCTACATATATCAAAATTTGGTTTCTCAGACTGTTGAAATACGGATCCAAAATACATTGCAAATGTATCGGATATCTCCTGGGAACCACTAATGGCACAACCCTCATACATAACCTCTGAAGGAATACCAGGCTTTACACGCTTAGACCTTAC